ACAGCCCAGCTCCCTGCCCTCCCCTCTCCCCCGATGTGCCCCCTGCCAGCCCAGCTCCCTGCCCGCCCCTCTCCCCCGATGTGCCTCCTGCCCCGTGACAGTCCAGCTCCCTGCCCGCCCCTGATGTGCCCCTGGCCCCTGGGCACATCATATGGGGGAGCTGGGCCCTCAGCAACTCCAACACATGCAGGGAAAACCCGGGGAAATGACACCCCTGCTGGCCTTGGCTAGGACTGTGATGAGTCGCCCTGCTGGGGCGCTTGGCAACTCCCAGCAGCAGATTTACCGGGGACAAAGGGAAATCCCAGTCCCATTTCCTGCCTGCCCCAGCCCCCTGCTGCCCTGGCACCCCACCGTCCCAGCCCCACTCCCCAGCTACTCCAGTCACCCACCCACCCTAGCACCCAACCACACCCCAGGCCTGGCACCCCAACACCTCCCCCTCCCCAATGCCCCCGGGAAATGGCCAGACGCCTCAATGCCATGGCACCCAGCAGTCCTGCCCGGCTTCTCAGCAGAGCAGGTCTCGGTTAGGTGGCCACTCCCGGGGGCAGAGGGCACTGCCCAGTGAGGGCCGTGCTGGCCAGCTCTCCAGGGTGCTCCAGGTGTGGGACAGCTACTCACACTGGTGCCCGACTTCATGGGGTTGCCGAGGTCACAGATCACCATGCGGGTCCGGTTCACCGACTCGTAGGCACAATTCAGGTTGGTGAAGTTCTGCGGGGGAGGGGAAGGAAGCTGGGATCAGAGCAGGGCTGCATGGGGAGGGGGTCTGCACGGGAGTGGGACTGGAGGGAAGAGGAGATACTGGGCCCTCTACCCGTACCACCCTGCTGTGGGGAGCGGGGGCACCCCTGAGCTCCCCTGCAGGAGTCCCGTCCCCAGGGGTCCCCTTACAGCAGGCAGCACACGCCTGGCCACCCTGTTCCGGGGGCTCAGACCAGCACCGCGGGGCCCATGCCAAGGAGCCGCAGCCCCAAGCCAGGGACTTGGGCCCCACGGCACTGCGAGGGAGCAGCCAGGAGCAATGTCCCTGGAGCCTGCATCACTCCCAGAGCAGAGGGCCTTGCCCAGCTGTGAGCCAGGTGGTTCGCGGGGTGTCTCTGCCACCTACCCCATGGTTGCGGATCACCCCGGAGTAGTCGGCCTCAGTGGGCAGGATGACGTAGAGCTCAGCTTCGTAGGCGCCACCCTCCCCGCGGTTGCGGGCGTTGAAGGTCAGGTTCAGGGCGTTCTTGTCCCCCAGGTACACCACGCTGTGCTCCCTGCAGGGCACAACGGGCATGAGGACCGGCCTTGGCGCTGCCCACAAGTGGAGACACGGCCCCTCCCGCCCCGGCATGACACGGCCAGGACTCGCCTGCAGGTCACAGCCAGACGAGGGGCTCCGGCCAGTCTACCTGCTGCCTGCCCAGCGCCGCCCAGCCAGAGCCCCCATTCCCCAGCTCGTGGGGGGTGGCCCTGCTGTTCTCACGGCTGTGCCAGCGCTGCTTGTGCTCCGCCCAGCTCTGCTTACACTCAGCGCCAGGCTAAGGGCTTCCATATGCGGGCGCAGCTGCTTTGCGTTAGGCCATGTGTGTGGGGGAGGGGGAGTCACGTCGCCCACGCAGCTGGGGGACTGCAACGGGCTTCCTCCAGGCCGGGCTCAGAGCTCTGCGAGGGAGGGGCTGGCATCAGCTCCTGCCCTCCTCTCAGCACATCTGGGCCTTGCCAGGAGGAGGGGGAGCACCACACCAGACCCA